CATGGTTAACATCCCCACACCGAAGAGTATTTGAGGAAACCATTGTTAGATTTTTCCACGAGCAGGGTGGGTGTGGCAAACTTCTTTGCCACCCACGATGTTGTTTCTCCTTCAATCTACCACGAGCTGGGATGGCATGCCCCCCTAGCGGCTCAGATTGAAGAATGTGGTAACATTTGTCATCTTTCAAGACATCACACTTGTTTTTCTTAATTTTCTGGAACTTATTATGAACACGTTTAAATTTTGTTCTTAGTTGTGGCTTTCGCAAGACCGCTATAACTTTCCTGTCCTTCAAAACAATAGTGTTCACAGGAGAACCAACATGAGATTTGTTGGCCCCTAACGCCATTGTTTTAGCCACAAGTTTAAGTGAATCCTTATTGGCAATACCGGAAACATGTTCATCTATCATCTCAAAAAATTTATCCATATGTCTTCCAAGAGAATCACACGGCTTATTTAAAGAGATAAAATAGAGATTTACCTGCTGGTAATACTCCTCCACGGCTCGACGAAGAGACAAGAGTGCAACATGCCCGACAGTGCTCGACATGGATTGAGGCCACTCCTTCATCCGACCGATATGTCTATCTGCCTCGTCCGCCTGACCAACTTCAGTATTGGTCCTTTGCTCGTCCAGAAATTGTTGTGGAAGATCGCAATCTTGTTTTTCTCGCCGCAGAGCCATTTCAAACACACGTATCCCACCGAGTGTGCCAAAATGTTTCCTCGGAAAATCAAATGCCACCGCCGGTGCCGAATTAGTTTCTGGCGATGTTGATTTGATGTTTCCGGTGGAAACTCTTGCGGTGCCGTTTGATCGGAAGCACCGCTGATTGCTGAAATCGAGAAAACCGTCAAATATCCGCCGCCGAATGTCGGCGCCGTTGATTTGATCGATGCACCTCTAAACGGTGAAATCAACGTGACCGTCAAATATCCACCGCCGGGCGGTGTTGATTTGATCGATGCACCTCTGACTTCTAACCAAGAACGACCGCTACTACGGTTCGCACCTCTCCAAACTACGTTCGAACGAGGGTGTTCAACGAGAAACGAGAAACCAAACCGGGAGTGTTCTAAGTTACGTTACCTCTACTCCTATGAAGGTTCCTCTGGAGAGCTCCGCGACTACAACTACAAGCTACGATCTACGACTCTGCAAAGGAGGTCTTTGACAGAGCAGTTCTACGAACTAGAGAGAAAAAGATAAATTCTGCAACGGTGCAGTTGTGATTTGATTTGTCCGTCCCGAGCTTCTCTCTCTTCCCAATCTTTATACTTCGCGCTTCTCCCCGTCGTAGTAACTGCCTTGGTGCCTTTGTCTCCCACGTCTTCATTCCTGTCAACCGTGCAGGTAACTTCCTCATCGTTGCGTGATAATCACGTGCCCTCGAAACCGCTCTTGCTTTGCAAAAACTTGGCAAAACGAGTTACACCCTTGTCCATGTAACGATGACGTTTCACCAATACCACGACATCGCCTTTCACCAACCGATGCCGTTTTATAATCCAACTCAACTCCCCCGACCCGGTTTAACCAACGACATTGTCAGTCCATCAAACAACGTCGTTCTATACTCTTGCACCGTTGTTGGGCTTGGCGGGCTGTCTTTGGCCGAACTCTTACCACTACCGCAATGTCGTTTTACTTTTCCGCGGCATCGCTTTTCATTAAACGACGCCGTCTAAAATAATCATAAAATTAACTCGCCCGTCAAACTTTCACCCCTCGGCGTCGTTCCTAGTTAAACACCATCGTTTCCTTGTCCCGCGATGTTGTTGAACTTTTGAGCTTCGCGACACTGTTTTAATTTTAAACACTGTCGTTTTAACTGTTGCGGCATCGTTTCGCCTACTCGCGGCACTGCTTTATAATCCGCGGTGTCGTTTCTTTCCTCTTGCGGCATCGTTTTCAACTAAATGACACCGTCCCAAACAGTCATTAAAATATTAATTGATCAATTCGGCCATCACAAGTCAAATACGCGTGTTGACCGACATCATTTGCGCCAAAACGGCTCCGTTTGCTTTTCCTTTCGCGACATTGTTTGTTATTTTAAACACTGTCGTTTGCTAGTACAACGGCACTGTTGGGCCTACTCGCGGCACTGTTTTGAACTTAAACGACACCGCTGATATAGCCGAGACAAATTCCATGGAACCACCGCCAATCGGCGCTCGCATTGGACTAGGTGAATTTTGGTTTAATTAATCGGTAACGCTTACCAGGCTCTCGCGGCATCATTTTTAAAACCGCGGTACCGTTTTAATTCTCCGCGGTACCGCTTGTCTCCATGCGGTGCCGGTTTTCCCCTTTCGGCAAGGAATAAAGAGAATAATAATTAATTAGAAAAACTCCTTCTCCAACACCCAACCAACCGCCTACTCCTTTTATTTTCATTAAGCGGTGTCGTTTCCCATGCCGCGGTACCGCTGAGCTTCCTTGCGGTACCGTTTTTTGTTCCGCGGTAACGTTTTAATTCTCTGCGATACCGCTTAACTTCAAACGACGCCATTTTTTACCCACGGTATCGAATTAAATGCCAAGACTACTTAATGCGACATTTAATTTCGGCCGAATTAATTTTAGGTGTCAACAGTAATATTGCATAACCATATGCCCATGATCTCAAACCACAAGAGAGGGTGTTTTTACTGTTTGGAGAACTTTATTTTCCACTTTGGTCCATATAAGAGAAGCAACAGAAAAGCATAAAAATGACCGTACGGTACCATTGCCGCACTCAGAACATTCTATACCCACTGAACTGATGGAAAGGGGATGTTTCACAAAAACTTTTATCCAACTTTTTGGAGGTGGTACTGGTAAGCTAGGATTTGGGTGACGGGTTCTGAGTGAAAATGTTTCTCGATCATGAACTAAATGGAAAAAGGTAAAATTTGCTCTAAATGTTCCTTCATCAAATCAAAAATTACGGTTATAGCGACTTTTAGTAAGTTCCAATTCATTGTATTCGATTTTATTACTTGGCAAGGATTTTCGTTCAACTGATTCCGGGTACCACTCGATTGCTTTTGAATGATATAGCGTGAAGAGTTTATGTTGTCCAATTTTCTCTGATTGGCGAATAAAATTGTAGATCTATCTTGTGTAGGTGTAGGTAAAGAAACTTTATATTGATCATCACAACGAACCAAATTACGTTATTATGAATCATTGTCCAACTTACATATCAATTTAATCAAAACAATACTCTCCTAGTCCTCGATAATAAAACAAGGATCCAAATGACCATCCGTAATTTGCTACTTAAATCCCAAGAGATTTTGATGTTCTAATAGAGAACTATGTTAAAAAGTAAGGTAATGCAAGAACTATGGATCTAGACACATGTGTAGGGTTTTGAAATTGGGATTAGAGATTTGATAGAGATTGAGAATAGGATTGAAGGAAAAGAGGGGTCTTGTGAAGGAAGAAGAGGAGGGTTCGGTCAAGTGGGGGTCGAACTTTGGATGAACTTCGGCCGAAGCAAGAGAGGGGTAGGGACTCAACTAGAGAGAGAGGGGAGAGACATACGTTTAAAAAAAATTAGAATTATGTATTTGCTTAATGACTTCAGTCCAAAATTACAGAATATATATTCCAACTAATTCTCATAAACTATCTATAACTAAACTCATTAATAGAAGACTCAGACAACACCCAAAATACGAAAAATACACTCACAATTTCGAAACCTTAACCAAAATTGAAATAATGGTCCGAATAGTAAATAATGGAAAAGTCTATATTTCTAACATGTAACAATTATGTAACTTGAGTCATTGTCCTAAAGTTTTGAGTTCAAAACCATCCGAACTCAAAATTTCCAAAACAACAAATATAACCACTAATTCGAACTATTAAGACGATGAGAGTGAGCCAAATTTCAAGTTGAACATTCTTTATGGTTCATGGAACAAACATAACATCCATGTCATTTGTCAATGACGTGGGCGCTAGCAAACCCTCTTTCGCTAGAATTACAAAATTAAAATAAAATTATAACAAACAAACAAAGTTTTGTGAGAGACTCAATTTCAAAAGTTGATTAGCTCTTAAAAAAATTATCAAAATATATTTATTTATGCCCTAATGCCTTGCGTCTAGGGGTGGGCAACGGGAAACGGGTATTTGGGTATACCCGTACCCGTCCCGTTTTTTAGGGTTACGGGTACCCAAATACCCGTAATTTTTTTTACGGGATGAGACTTGGGATCAAGAATCAAACTATGGGTACCCGCGGGTTACCCGTTAATACCCGTTTGGGTATTACGGGTACCCGTTATACCCATTAGTCCAAAATTATTGTAAGTAATTTGCTGCTCAGGTTGGTGGCGGCGGCACTTTGTGTGAATTTGGCTTAATTATTATTCATGTACTCTGAGTATATTATATATATATACACGGATATCATAAGTAAAGCTAAGGTAAACCACTTAGGATAATTACAAGATGATAACCGAATGTGAGCATCATTCATCATGAGGATGGTTACACGTAAATCACTTGATGGGCTTCCTTTACACGTAAATCATTTGTGAGGAGATAATCCCAGACACAATTAAAACACAAGTGAGCTTGAGCTTCTCTTCTTCTTCCTTCGACGAGTAATGGGTAGCAGAACAGAAACTCGAATAAACAGAGACAAGATATTTATGGGTATGTACGGGTAGTATGGGTACCCGTTATCCGTCCCATACGGGTAATGGGTACCCGTTAACCCATACGGATTTGGAAATGAGATAAAGATTGATCTCCAAACAAGATTGGGTACCCATTTCAAACAGGACGGGTATTCCGTCCTATCCCGTTGCCCACCCCTACTTGCGTCATAACATAAGTTGTCGTCTCACAAACATCCCATCAAAAGAGAATTTCGAGATCATTAATAATTAATTGCTTCACTAAACCACAAAATAAAATAAAATAAAATCAATTTCTCGGATTTTTAACTCCACGGAAAATCTCGCAAAAGCATAAAAAAGAACCGCCGTCTCAAACTCTCAGTTCAGTTCGTTACTTTTCCCCTTTCTCCCCTAACACAATACACGCCATTTTCTTTCACTTCACTCCCGCATGGCGGTGACGGACCTCTTCGCCGGCGAGATCGCCACCGAGCTCCTCAAGGTCCTTTTCTCAATCTCCCGACGAGCCTGCCTCTGCAAATCAACCGCCGATGCCCTAATCACCAGCACCAACCAGCTCCTCCCCATCATCCAGGAAATAAAATACTCCGGCGTCGAGCTCCCAGCCGCCCGCCAATTCCAGCTCGACGGCCTCTCCGAGACGCTCCGCGGCGGCCTCGAGCTCTCCCGGAAGGCCCTCGCTTGCAGCCGGTGGAACGTCTACAAGATGCTCCAGCTCGCCCGGAGGATGGAGAGGCTCGAGAAGCGGATCTCGGCCTTCCTCCACGGCCCGCTCCAGGCCCACGTCCTCGCCGACGTCCACCACCTCCGGTTCGATTCCGTCGAGAGGTTTGACCGGCTCGATTGCTCCGCCCGCCGGCTAGAGCAGCGGCTCGAATCGCTGAAGATTGGGGTTGGGGACGGCGGCGGCGGAGGGTGGATGGAGGAGGCGGTGAAGAGAGTCGACGCGGAGGAGCAGCGGTGGGAGGGTAATCTAATAAATGTATTGGGGGTTGGTGTGGCGGAAGGGAAGAAGAGGGTCAAAGAGATGGTGATTGAGAGAGACGAATTAGGGATTGTTGGAATCTGTGGAATTGGGGGTTCTGGGAAGACGACTCTGGCTACTGATTTGTGCAGGGACGATGAAGTTAGATGTAAGTACTTCTGCTTCTTCGAATCCGTTTGGAGTATGGATTGCAGCGATGCGGCGGAATGAATGGAATTGAGAAGCTTGCATTTCTAACAATCTTTTGAAATTTTATCTTTCTTTTGGCCAGGTCACTTCAAGAACCGGATACTGTTCTTGACGATTTCGCAGTCTCCTGATGTGGAGCAGCTGAGGGCTAAGATTCTGGGGTTTATTGCTGAATCTGATCATGGTAGTGGTAGCTTTGGCTGCGATGATGGGTTCATTAAAGAAGCTGCTGGAGGTCGAGTTCTGATTGTTCTTGATGATGTATGGTCACTCTCGGTTCTTGAGCAGCTGATCTTCAGGATTGATGGCTGTAAAACGCTTGTCGTTTCGCGGTTCAAGTTTTCTACCGTGCTTGGTGCTAGTTATGAAGTGGAGCTTTTGAAGGGAGATGAAGCTGTTTCATTGTTCTGCCAATCTGCTTTTGAGCAGAGTTTCATCCCTCCTGGTTCTGATGCAAACTTGGTCAATCAGGTAACCAAATGGCAAATTAGACGAATAACCTGTAGAATACATGATCCATGTATCTTTGTTGTCATTGTACGAATGCGTGTAACTTTAAGGATGTAGTATGTTCTCCATACCAATTGTAAATATACATACATGATAGTGAAATACATGATTTCATTGGAAATGACTCCTTAGTTTGTTTTGCGGGATAACTTACTAAAAGATATTTTGTTGTTGTTGTTGTTGTGATGGTGGTGGTGGGTAGATTGTGAATAAATGTAAAGGCCTTCCCCTGGCGCTCAAAGTGATTGGCTCTGCATTGAGAGGGCAGCCTGAGATGTACTGGGCGAGTGCGAAGAAGAGGCTATCTAGAGGCGAGCCAATCTGCGAGTCACACGAGAACAAGTTACTAGATAGGATGGCAATCAGTGTTCAATTCTTGCCCAAGAAGGTTAGAGACTGTTTCCTGGATTTGGGATCTTTTCCAGAGGACAAGAAGATCCCATTGGATGTCCTTATCAACATGTGGGTCGAGATCCACGATGTTGATGAGGAAGAAGCTTTTGCTATCCTTGTTGAGCTCGCAGACAAGAACCTGCTCACTCTCGTCAAGGATGCAAGGTTGGGATTTTTCCTCTTTCTTCATCGTCAAGTTACTACCTTTCTAAAATTGCCTCACATTCGAAGTTTAATAAAAAGGTTGTGAATGTGGTTAATGTTTGGGGAGTTAGGGCTGGAGATCTTTATAGCAGTTACCATGACATCTCTGTGAGTCAACACGATGTGTTGCGTGATCTCGCCATCCATATGACGAATCGCGGCGAGATAAATGAAAGAAAGCAGATGATCATGCCGAGAAGGGAGATGGAGCTTCCAAGAGAATGGGAGAGAAATGCTGACAATCCATTCTTCGCTCAGATCATTTCAATTCATACCGGTAACAACCAATCTACCTATCCATCTTTAAACAGTTCCAAATTCAGACTGAGCTCTCTAATCTCGAATCTCGAATTACAGGCGAAATGAACGAAATGGACTGGTTCGCCATGAACCTCCCCAAGGCTGAAGTTCTCATCATCAACTTCTCTGCCACAACATACTTCCTGCCTCCATTCATCCACAACATGCCGAGGCTACGAGCGCTGATCGTCATCAACCACTGTTCCCAAAATGCCACCCTCCGAAACCTCTCCGTCCTCTTCACGTGCTCCAACCTTCGGAGTCTCTGGCTCGAGAAGGTCACCATCACCACATTAGCATCATCAAATCCTGAAACCACCCCTCTGACCAACCTCAGAAAGATATCTCTAGTCCTATGCAACATCAACAACACGCTCGATTCCATCCTACCCTCCACGTACCCTTCCTTATCCGAGCTCACAATTGACCACTGCGACGATCTGATCCATCTCCCTTCCATCACCTCCCAATCCCACTCCCTCAAGAGCCTCAGCATAACGAACTGCCACAACTTCCGCCAGCTTCCCACCAATCTCGGCGACCTGAAGAGATCTCTGCACATCTTGAGGCTGTATGCTTGCCCGAGCCTCAGGATGCTGCCGCGGTCTACCTGTGAGCTGTCGAGGCTGAAGTACTTGGACGTGTCTCAGTGTGTGAACTTGAGGTCGCTTCCTGAAGGGATCGGGAAGATGGCCGGGCTGGAGAAGATAGACATGAGGGAATGCTCGGAGGTGTTTTGTGTTCCTGATTCCGCGGCGTCGATGGAGTCGTTGAGATGTGTGATCTGCGACGAGGAGGTTTCGTGGTCGTGGAAAGGGTTTGAGAAGATCGGGCTCCATGTTCAGGTTGCGGAGAAGCACTTCAACTTGGACTGGCTCCATGAATAGTGCCACTACCAAATACCACCAAATATGTAATTATCTTTTGTAGCCTTGTAGGGCATTCACCATTGTACATATATGCATCAAGTAAATAAATCGTTTTTTTTTTTTATGTGTCGTTGTTTAAGTTCTAGCATCGATAGATGGTACATGACAGAATATCCAATATATACATTTGAGACTATACTGATCGTAAAAACGGGATAAATCCGTAAAAGCAAGTGGTTTAAGTAAATTTTTGTGTTTGTAATTGTAGGAACATAGTAGTGAAAATTTTGATTTAAATTATAAAATTTTATGATATTATTTATCTGTTCCGATCTTGACTTTACTATAAAATTTTGCTGAGCTTGATTCCTACACAATTTAGATCTTCAAATTTTTAATATTTTATTCTCTTGAAGAATATTAACGTTTTAAGTTCCTTGTTGAATTGATTGAATGTTGATCAAATCGAATCGAGTTAAAGGAATATATAAGATCAAATTTATGGGTCATATTTACTTATCCCCCAAATTAGCAAAATATCATGTCTTTTTTTCCTTCTACTCCACCAACATCATACACCATCGTCAATTCACTCCAACTCATTAATCAGTACCAATTTACCGCTTTGACGCTTTCCAACATTCACCTTGAGCAGTTGGAACATTGTCTTTGTGTTCATTATTTATCTTATTAATATTGATTTAGTGTTTGTTTTATATGAATCTTAAAATACTAAGATTTTAGGATTCGGATTTTACTCCAGTATATTATTTTACTTCAAATCAAGAAATTGACTGCATTGATGAGAATTTTTTTATAAATTCTGATAAGTTATTATGAGAATCTAATGAATTTTTTTTTTCATTTATTGATATTGTTTTCAATTTTCAATCACTTTCAATTTGGCGAAGTTAGGCAAGGATTGGCATTATGCCTTCCCAAGCGCAAGCTGTATTATGCTTTTCACGTCATTTCGTCGTTGAAGAAGGAAAACGTGAGGAACTGGAGGGGGAGAGAAGGGTTGACTGGGCTTTCTTTGAGTCAAGCTTGGAAAGTGATGGCTGTCGACGGATAGTGGAAGTGACCGGCGGCTAGGGGACAACAACAAGCAAACCGACACCACAATGTTTCCGACGACTTCTCTCTTTCCTTTCTCGTCCTCTAAAAACCAAAAACCAGGACGGGGACAGATATTTGTATTCATTTCTCGACCACACCAAATCCAGATCCAAATGCAACGAATAAGAGAGACCCGTGCCGTGATCGCCTTGCCATTTTACGGGGTTAGCTTCACAATTCACGTGTTGTAAAAATGACACCCTTATTAATTATAATTATTTTTGTATTAAATTCGTGATGTATTTGATAATCTTTGAGAGTAAAAAATTCAAATTAATTACATTTATTTTTTTAACTACCATTGCACGGATACAACTAGCATTGCACATACCATTACAGTACTAAACACAATAAGTATTGGATACTAAACACTTAAGTTTTTAGTTGCAACTAAACCACATAGGTCGACTTTCGATTTCACCATTATATTTTCCATCCATAAACTTAACGGCATGTATCAAATTGAATTTTTTCGCATCAATTTACACAACTCCGTTTTCCCTCACATTCTTTCATCTTCATTTCGATATTACTAGCGCTCTCTTTAATTAACTTATGCCCTCATTTATTGTTTTCGTCAAAATTTATAATTGTTCATTTATAAATTTTTTTATGTCTAATCGAATTAAACTTTGGCTTCATTCCAAATACAGTAAACTTTTTAAACATATGTGGAATGTGAAATGCAATCTTTATTCTATTTTTTCGTTTATAATATGTTTTGCATAATTAGCACCTCAGTATAGGCTTTTCTTTGGGGGAAATTTTTTTTAGGTGACCCTCTTATAGATTGTTTAAATTCATCTATTATAAATAAATTTGTACATATTATTGTTGTATGTGTTTTAATGAATATTTGAGCTGAGTCAAGTTTCAGCAGAAGGAGTCTTTCTATAGCTGAGTTCTGTACACCTGAACTTCAACTAACGATCAGATAAAAATTAAAGAAGCATATTGAGATTAATACAAGGGATGCTTTAACTGAATGAGTGAAGAATAATTAAGAAACAGTCTTATGTAATAAAATCGAGGGACAAACAAAGTAAAGTAATGAGGGAATTTCATGTGAAGTTTTATCATAAATTTGTTACTAGTGTTCTACTAAAGAAAAGACTTCCAGAGTGAACCTCAGTCTTTCGAATGAAGTTCGCAGCCGAAGCCCTCCCATCTCCAACTCTATAGATAATTTTACAAGTGGATCGTCAGACACAGAGCAAGAGAAGAATTTCAAGGCTATTGTGATCGGGTTTATTCAATCCTTTATATTTATAAAATAAATTAGTTTAAAAAAAATAGTTATTTTGTGGAGAGGAAGAAAGTGAAATAAAAATGGTATGATGTAAATTAAGGTGGAAAACTTCAATTTGATACCTACCGTTAAATTTAAGTATGAAAAATATAACGGTGCAACCGGAAGCATACCTATGTGATTTAGTTGCAACTTAAAAAACTTAAGTGGTTAGTATGCAACGAAACCAATACTTACGTGGTATCTAGTGCAATTAACCCATACATGATACAACTAACATTGCATTGAAAAAAGGAAAGTAATTAATATGAGTTTTTAATTCATATAAATTATAAAATGAACAGAAATTTATTACCTTAAAAGTCTATAATTAATAGGGGTGTCATTTTTTCAACCCTTTAGGGTAGTCATGCTCAATGTAGTCAAATGCGAGTTTCTGCATAGAAACGTTTTGGTGATCTAGAAGCATTAAAATCGTAAGTTTTTAAGTTTTAAAGCGCAGTTTTTAACTACGTAAGTTATAAGAACTGAGATTTTGTGTAGAAGCATTTTAGTGATCTAGAAACGTAAAATCGTAAGTTTTTAAGTTTTAAAGCGCGATTTTGACTACATTGGTCATGCTATCTTACCCCATTTTACATTTCCGGCGATAGTAAGTTCTATCGGGGTTAGAATGTTTTGATGTGATCTATGGTTATTGTTGGGACATTGATAATTAGAATGTCTAATACGAAAAATGTCTACTTCGTTAATGGATTTGAGTCTATCGTACGACTTCTTATAAGGGTTCAAGCTAATTGTGAGGCATCTTGTGTAGGGTCCAAGCCATTGTACTATAGAGCTTGTGAGTTGGTTTTTTTAGGAGTGTGTAAGAGAATGATATAATGTCCCGAACAAATCTTCTCGTAACAACTCGAGTTATTAAAATCGGTTGATTTATGTGAGATCGGAGTTGGCATAGCAAAATGGGAAAAACAGAAAGATTAGATTGTTTTATTATGAGTCATTTCATGAAGAAAAATAATGTAAGCTTGTAAGCTTGGACCCATTGTATCAAAGCCCAACTGCCTTGTCTCTTTCCCTTTCATCTGCATCATTAGAGCAACTCTTGTCTAAAGAAAACCATGCAATTGAGTTTCATTTGCTTCTATGGGTAAACTATAATAACCAACTAGATTACAATGTGTTTATTGGTATTTTTTTATTGAACTCTAGGAATATGTTAAATGGGTAAACTATAATAACCAACTAGATTACATTGTGTTTATTGGTATTTTTTTATTGAACTCTAGGAATATGTTTGGTGATGATGGTCCTATATTTATAGTTTATCTTAAATTATTTACATTTTATAAAAAGACATTAGTTCTGAAATCGAAACTCATGTAACATTGATTCAAACATTAGTATTAAATTCTATGTGTAGTTTAGTTTCGACAAAATACAGAAGTGTAACTAAAACATGCAACTTTGTAACGAGTATAGTCATTTTTTGACCAAATCTACACATAATATAATGATAAAATTGGAAAATGAAAGTCTTCTTTTAAATTTCATGGTATGAGAGTGATTCTACGAACATCTTTTTCGTCATAGCGCCAAATTTATCTTTATATTATGTGTAGATTTGTCACAAAAAATTACTATATATGTCATGAAGCCCATGTTTTGGCTACACACATGTATTTTATCTAAATGTACCACACATATAATTTAATATTTTATCTTTGAATCAATGGTACTTGAGTTCTGATTTCACAATTAATCACTTCCTATGAGATATAATAATTTGGTTCATCTTCTTAAATTGTAAGCGTACACTTAGCGAAGATTTGAAAAGCATAGAAATTTTCCATCACGGTTAACTAGCCTAATAAGTCTTTGTTACATCAAAGTTTAATACGTGATTTATAAATTTTTTATAACCTATAAAATGATGAGTAATCTTAAAATTGCAACACAAATTATTGCTTATCGAATTGCAGTATTGAATATGCAAAAGAGATACAGAGTTCTTTAAATTAATATAAATTTTATGAACTACTACGACACAATAATATTTTGTACAAACTATAGGTGACTGGTTATCTAAAATTTTAGCCTGGTTAATTTCTAAACATTAAACCTCTTGCTAATTTGGCATGAATGGACCGGAAAATAATGAGACGATATTGGGTTTAATGTGATGTTCATTTAGCCATTTTTTGGATGTGTTCACCAATTTAATGGCATTAACATATAAATGAGTTATAATTAATTTCATTATACAATTTTTACTCTTTATAATAATTAATTTAATATTAATATTCGTGATGTTTGAAATATTTTATGTATGATTTAGAGATATAGTTATTATTTGTGGCACCAGTGGTAGTTGGTTCAAATGTAGTATGTTATCAGGTAGTCAAAATCAAATACTGGGTGCATTTATCACTGTTTTTTATCTTGGTGTTGCGAATAGGTAAAAACTTAATTATTATAATGCATATAACTATACCCAGGCACATGATCAAGCTAGCATGACATAGTTAGAGCATACCATGAAGACAATGAATATGGATTGGCCCTATAGAAGTATGAATGCTTCATGAGTCGTAATAGACTTAAACTTCAAGAGCTCGCGCACAAGTGCGAACACCACACAGTCTATATTGGCGAACTCATGTTTTATGAGAAATGCGCCATTTGAGAGGAATAAGCGGCCATCTATTTGCCATGTTTCAGGTCCTTTGATTCACACTATCGACTGTGAATGGAGAAGAAGCATTTCGAATGCAGAATTGGAGAAGTAATTGGGATGTTTGTAGGTTTCTCTCGATTCCAGGCTGTGGGAAGAAAGAGGAAGGGAAAGGGGGAGAGTGGTGAGATACAAATCTCAGAGATAGAGAGAGATGGAAGAACAAACGAAAAAAAAAGAGGATTATCGAGGACCTGCTGGGCAAGTGTAGCCATCACCGTCTCATCCAGCCTAATCCACACATCTGTTGATATGACGTCGAGGATCTAAGCCCTTGAGAATGATTAACTTAGCGGTGTAAGGGTAATACCTGTTGTCATCTCCAAGCAAACCCATCATTCGCCGACTGGAGCTTCGCCGATTGGAGAAGGAGCTCGCCGGATCGATCTTCTCTCTATCCGCTAGAGGAAGAAGAGGCGGATTGTAGCAGCTGCATTCGATGGGGAGGTCGAGTTTGGGGGAGGCTGGGAGAAGAACGATGGGAGATGGGGGTTAGCAAAACGACACCTTTGGTCAAAGTGAACAAAAGGGGAAAAAATGGTTGAGGGACTCGAACGCTGGGCTCATTAATAGGAATGGGGGCGTAACCAATGTAGTCAAAAGCATGTTTATACGTAGAAGCGTTTTGGTGATCTAGAAGTGTAAAATCGTAATTTTTGAGCTTTAAAGCGCGTTTTTAACTACATTAGCTATAAAAACTACAATTTTGCGTAGAAGCATTTTGGTGACCTAGAAACGTAAAAGCGTAAGTTTTTAAATTTTAAAGCGTGATTTTGACTGCACTGAGCGTAACCTGTTGGGCAACGGGGGAAAATCCATCCCTCATTTTCCAACAAACGATCTTTTATTGTTTTAACCCAGCTGCCTCTTTTATTCCCCATGGTTTTTTCCAATGATAATGAAATTGCAAGTGAACACGTTTCTTACCATTAGTTTTTTATTTTTGTTGTCACACCAGAAAACAAATTGGCAAGTGAACGGGACATAAGAGTGAGTGAGAGGACACATTTAAAAGAGGGGGAAAATGAGGTAGTGTGAAATAATTGCTCTTCTGCTTTGCTAGTGGGTATTCTTGGCTCTGTTGAGTTTTGATTTATTTTAGGAGATGACATTATATTTGATAGATTTTTTCCACTTCAATTAAGGCGTCGTTTGAAAGTTGAGATTGTTTTGTTGAGATTGTTATTATACTTGTATTGTTTAGAATGCATCATTTTTTTTTATTTTTTAGTAGAAACAATACATGGATTACATCAGTGATGTGACAGAAACTATTACCCAAAATGAGTGATTGTTATATCTCAACTTTTAGTTGTGATTGTTGAGATTGTTTTGTCTCAGCTTTTAGCTTATGTGACATACACAATGCATCTAATCCGACAATACATATATAATATTATGCATGCATTCACAACAAAACGTCTATTTAACAATTGCAACTTCCAAACGACCCCTTAAAATCCTAAATCAATATTATCATCTCGATGATTTTTTTTCTTAATACGATTAAGGTAATTTCTGAGATTTAAGGGTATTTGATAATGTCAATATTTCGGTGGTTTTTTATTTAGAGTTTGAATTGAAAGATCGTACGTACTGGCGGTTCGACCATAAAACTTCAAACAATAGGCTAAATCGATACGTGATATTTAGCAATATGAAACGGTTGAACCACAGTTAAATTATGATTTCAGTATAAAATACTCTACTACCAAAAAAAATTTATACTATTACAATCATTTGGTTCAAACAATTCTTTTACGTGGTAACAAAAGTTTTAAGGCACATTTTGAACTATCTATTGCAAAAAAAGCATAAGTCTGTTAGTGATAATGAGAATATGCAATCTCATTCAACCCAAAAGACACTTTGCAGCAGTGACAGACCTACCCAAAAATTTTGTGAAGTAACTATATTTTTTTTGTACAATTATTTTTAATTCGAACTTCCGACACACCTTAAATAATCGTGAGCGACACACTTTTATTATACGAGAATGATTTTCTTGTTATACAGTTATTTATCTAAATTAGTAATACACAATAATAAGTAAATTCAAATAAGTGTGCTTGTTATAGAGTAACCCACACCACAACCTAGGGATGGCAATAGGGCGGGTTTGCCTAAACCAACCTCGTCCCCATTTCCGAATATTCAAACTCATACCCGCCTCATACCCATGCAGTGGAAGGTCTTACAAACTCATCCCATACCCGCGGTTTTCGGATACCCATGGGTAATACCGCCCCAACAGCTACTCACCATTAATAAAAGAATATGGTGACAAATATGGATACTACCCACCCAAAATTTATGGAACCAATACATAAGAGGATGAAATTACGGTTTGGTTGCCATCAATTACATTTTAACACTTTATATTTTCTTTTAGTTACCCTTCATTGGATTGAAAAGTTACAATACACTCCTTGTATTTTATGTATATAACATAATATCCTTGGTGGGGCGGGTTTAGGTATGGGTATGGGACGGGAGAGTCAAAAACCATACTCGCCCCATACCCATCAACCTTTTTGGGGGGTTTTATCCATACCCGCCTCATACCCAATCAACGCAGGGATTCCCGCGTTGACTTGGTCGGAGGCGGTCGAGTACCCGGGAACATGGGTTTGGTTGTTATCCCTACCACAACCCAACAATGGAAAAAATAAACATAACCCAATCCTTTGAAACTCACTGTTTCTACCCATTGACCCTTCCTTTATTGAAAATAAAAAACTCACCTTTACCCCGTTTTAGTTTCTAATTACCGAGAGCCACTACCACATCTCCCTTTTCTTTTACCCTTTAGTTTGACTTGCTTTTGGAAGTTGGTGTTGACTTTACCTGTTGCAATTTAAAGTTGTGAAAGATTTAACCTATGAAGATAATCAAGAATGAACTTCAAAATCGGTTAAGTAACCAATTTATGAATCATTGTTTAGTTATCTATATCGAAAAGGATTTGCTTCGCAACATAAGCAACGAATGTATTTACTGAAATTTTTAGTAAACATGACATTGTGAACTTTATGAATTAAATTTTAGTAATTTCTATTTAATTTCTATTAATTTTTATAATAATTTTTTAATAATTATATTATTTTATCGGGAACACACCTCTTCGACAATTCTGGTCCGCCACTGCTTTGCAACTTCTATATTTTTAAAATGAATGCATTTTACTTATACCCGCGCTCATTCATAAACTTACTGAGTAACATATATTTCATGTAATATGATTTTCATAGGTTTTTATTTATTGAATTATTTCATGAAAAAAATATTTGTTGCATGAAAATTACTACATTGTTGCAAGACATGTTTGCAATTTGAGAATAATTTGGAAAGTCCATACACAACACATTGTCCAACTAACTCTTAGCAACAATTTAACATTATGTCCTATATATTTCAAATCAAGCAACTTCAGATTCATTACCAACGGTAAAAGGAAATGCTCTCTATTGGAAAAACCTTAAGGACATACTAATTCTTTCATCTTAAAGGTTGATTATATATATATATATATATATGTATGTATTATGAGAAACAACTCTAATATTCAACTATATGGTTTAATTAAGTAATGAATGACAATTAGTTATATTTATTTCTTTCTTCATTCAATAATTATAAGTAATACTTATATTATATTTTTTTCTCTTTTCATGGAGGTTTAAACACTTTATGCATAGTTCGATCACTTTCAAATATAGTATGTGTATAACTAAGTTAAAAAACAATCATTTTATACATTTCAAATCATATATTATATATCCATTATTATATATCATATTTCCCGACAAATTCCTTCTTGCTAACAGGCTGGGCCTGTACTAGTTCTATCAATGGGAAGTATCCATAGACCAAAATCATGGATGGGCTAGTAAGATTCATTCCGAAAAAGAGTTCACAGCCATTGGTTAGAAAATGAGACCAAAAGCAGAAAAAGAATGAACAATTGAACAGCTCGTAGCAGCCCAACCAGGAAAAAACTCGAAATCTAGAACCGACCATTTCACTACATTTGTGGCTGCGAAGGAAAGAATAGTAACTCGTAGTGGTCCAATTTGGCCGATTCAACACATCCATTTAACCTCTGCAACTATGGTGAAACTTCAAACCTATAGTGATCACATCCTCCACATATGGATAATGGATTCTCTCGCCATTCTTGCTTTGGCCATCATCCTCTGCCTCTCCTACTTCACCATCATCAAAACTCTCCGCCGCAGCCAATCTGACAACCAACCGCGATACCCACCGGAACCCACCTCCCGATGGCCAGTCATCGGCCATCTCCCAGTCCTCGCCGGACCGGAGCTCCCCCACAGAGCACTCGCCGGGCTAGCAGACAAATACGGCGCCGTATTCTCCCTCCGCCTGGGAATCAACCGCGTTGTGGTAGTCAGCAGCTCAGAAATCGCCAAGGAAATCTTCACGACCAATGACACGGCCGTGATCTCTCGCCCGGCAGTAACTGCCTCCAAGCTCTTCTCCTACAACTTCGCCATGTTCGGGTTGGGCCCGTACGGAGATTACTGGCGGGAAATGAGGAAAATAACGATGATCGAGCTTCTCTCAGCCCGCCGCATGGAGCTTCTCCGGCGATTCAGAGAATCCGAAGTCCGGAAGTCGATTAACCATCTGTTTAAAGTAATCGGGGATAATCCTGAAATCGATCTGAAGAAATGGATTGGCGATTTGAGCCTTAACCTAATGTTGCGAATCATAGCAGGGAAGAGCTCCTCTGCTTCCGACGGCGCCGTTCCCCTGAAGTTCAAGACCGCCGTGAGAGAGCTTTTCCACTACATGGGGATGTTTGTCGTGGGTGACGCTCTCCCGTTTCTGGGTTGGATGGATATCGGCGGCCATCAGAAGGAGATGAAAAGGGCTTTCGGAGAATTGGACGGGTACCTTCAGGAATGGCTGATTGAACACAAGAAAAACAGAGCAGAAAAAACAGAGCATGATTTCATGGACGTTCTGCTCTCCGTTCTCGACGGTAAATCTCTCCATGGATACGATTCTGATACGATCATCAAAGCCACGTCACTGGTAAATTCCTAACTAATCTCTCTCCCCTCATTTCTAATTAGATGAATCAAAGCTCTGATTTTATAATTGGGGGAGAAAACAGAGCATGATTGCAGGGGGAACGGATACGAGCACCGTCACGGTGACGTGGGCGATCGCTCTTCTACTAAACAACCGGCACGTACTCCGCAAGGCTCAGGAGGAACTCGACGGCGTCGTCTCGAAGGAAAGAGCGGTGACAGAAGGGGACATCGGGAAGTTAGTTTACCTGCAATCAATCGTCAAAGAGACGATGAGGATGTACCCGCCGGCACCTCTGTTGGCGGTGCGGGAGTTCGTCAGGGACTGCGACGTGGCAGGTTACAGGGTGCGGAAGGGCACCTGGCTGATGGTGAATGCGTGGAAGATTCAGAACGACCCGAGTGTGTGGCCGGAGCCGACGAGATTCGAGCCGGAGCGGTTCCTGACGGCGGAGTATCGGGATGTAGATGTGAAGGGACAAAATTTCGAGCTGTTCCCGTTTGGAAGCGGGAGGAGAGCTTGCCCTGGGACCAATTTGGGGCTTCAGATGGTGCATTTGACGCTGGCGAGTTTTCTCCATGCGTTTGATTTCTCGACGGTTGGGGATGAACCGGTGGATATGGCCGAGAGCTTTGGGCTGACGAACATCAAGGCGACGCCGCTTTTGGTTGTGGCGAAGCCACGAGTGTCTCTAGATGTTTATGCGTAGTATGAATTCTTAATGACGACGATGGATCCTTATTCCATAGTCCGACTCTGGCGCTTGAAAGTTTGGTATAAGTATTTGGGATAAATCGAATATTATATTCATATTGTATTTGTCAATTTTTGATATTATCGAATATACATATTACTTCACCATGCCATTTACAACAGAAACAAGACCTGTATCGATCGAAAGAACGAAAATCGAATCAGAGCTTCTTCCAGAACCAGGAATCTGAACTGTAACTAACCATTTCGTCCAAACATATGGGACCAGGAAAAGCAAGAACAATTCAAGGGACGTTCAGGACCCACGGCCTCTAACCTGACCACCAAAATCGGCTGCAAGACCCTCACAAAGCTAACAAACCCAGCAAAACAAGAAACCTACTACAAGTCTACAACATAGCTAAAGCTAAGATCTTTATCCTTGATCAATACAAGCAAAAGGCGCCTCATTACATATCTTAACATGCAAATCTCGGTCCTTGCCCGGTAGACCGAAGAGACAGTTCAAGTAATGTACAGATACAGAAGCCAGAGGGAGGGAGGCTCGAAAGGAATTCATAAAAAGGGAGTGTTCCTGGATCGAACTAATTACGGAACCTGGAAGGCAGCCATCCATGTGCTCTGAGTGGAAGGTTATAGAACTCCTCGGTTCTGGCATCTCCCTTCCTGTGCTGGAAAGGCTTCAACCACGGGACCCCTCTGTCGTTGACCGCTTCCCTCTCCAGGGTGTTGTCCAGAATCGTCGCCACAATTATGGCCACAGCAGGTGGCGACGAGAAGATCGTGTTCAGTATGTCGTTGAACTGTCAAGAGGAAGTAAGCATATAACTCAATCAATGTGAAAGATATAGGGTTTGAGAGGAGGGTTTGAAGACACACTTTGGCATGTTGGCCAATTTGGTATACAAACTTGACAGTAGACACTGAAATGGGCATTGGAAACAACTAAACACCGAACTCGGGTTCATATAAGTCCTACTTCCATTAGTTTTATCGTTTAGTTACTAATCAGCCTCTAATTGGCATACAAGAGATGCCCCATCAGAAACATAGCAGCAAAAACTTATGGATGCGATGGGAATGCTCATAGAATGAGTTCAGCCTTTTCATTGTTTCAGTACCTAATCTGTGATCTATATAAGCAAGTTCAGTGATCATATTGGTTTAATGCTGTTGAGCTAATGAAGTTGGGTATATGAGTGAAACTTACCCATCCCCCGTTTGTTCTAACAGGTCCATGGCCGTCGAGGGAGGTGTTGCTGACGAAATATTGAGGAATGGATATCGCAAGGAACAGAGATAAGCCAAGTACATAGTGGTTTCTAAGGGAGTTGCTGTTTGCAAACTGCATGAATGAGATCCCAACTGCGGCTGTCGTGGAAAGGGCGGGAACAAATTATACCGAAATTCAGGACATATGATTGATCACATAAGGGATAGATTACTTACAAACTATGCCGAATACCACACAGTAAATGGCAGCAAATATTGGCAGCGGAATGGATGCAAATAAGGCACCAAATTTCCCTGGAAGATGAAATCCCTTGTAGTAAGTCAGAGACGAGCTATGAATTTGGAGGCATCTCTTAAGTCATTGTGTAGAAACTCAAATCACTAACCGAATATGGAGAAGAAGAACATGAAAGCAGTTGAAATTTGCACCACTCTACGGCTTCCTATGTGTGTGAGGCCGAGAAGGCCAACATTTTCACTGCAAATATCAACATCAGACAATGAACTAAGTTCCTAGATTACAGTAAAGAGTTTATACTAAATCTTTGACGGTAAATCTCAATTACAGAACAAACATAACAACCATAAAGGATCAGGTACTTACACCGATGCTGTGGTACCCACAAGAGCACCAAAGATTCCATCAATTAGCAAGCTTACACCCTATACAAAGAATGAGACAAACATCATCTCTTGCTATCCTGAATTTGTATAGATATACAGGTGAAGGAGAAAGATTCAAAGAGAATTGTAGTGGTTACCTGAAGACCAATACTCCTGCTCACAACATGTCCCGGAGTATGTGTTGCTCCTGCTAGACGTGATGCAGCAATGAATGTCCCCGTTGACTGCATTCAGGGGAGACCAGCCAAGGTATATCAATAGCAACACACGAACCAGTAATATATATTTGCATAAAAAGGAAAAACGGAAACGTCATTATGAATAGCAACTGAACCTCAGCAGCGGTAACAAGTGCAGCCCCCATCATCCCGAAGACGTGGCTCGCTCTAAATATAGGTGGACCCCATTGAAATGGATATGGAACTCTAACCCTGGATTAACAAAGATGAAATAACTCTACATCATGGAATCAAATAAGTTAATTTAGACGCAGGATAGCATAAGTAAGAGAAAATCCATACCATGGAGCAGATGATATCAGAAATGATCGATCTGTTCGGCAACTTCGTTGAGTGATGGGCGCAACATTGTTGTAAGCACCAGCAGCAGTAAGGATAGCAGCAAAGGCCCAAACAATTGCAAGGCAGAAAAGCAAGTGAAATCTCTCGAGTAAGGCGTGGCCCCTCGAATGGAGGTGCTTCAAATACTGCGCCAGCAAACACAAGGAAATTACTTCCACGCATTGGGCAGGCATTTGCTTCTTAAAGTTTATACAAAAAGTTAGACTTACCTGGCAAATGACAAGCAGTAGCAGCATAGGCAGACCAATCTCCACACAGTTAGCAAGCTGCATGAGTGACAAAGTACTTTCAACTATCATGTTAAGTTAGGTATCATTCAGCATCATAGGAAGACATATATCAATGGCCCAAGCCCAAGCCCAAGAAAAATTTACCAGCGGGAATCCCCTGGCAAACAGACCAAGGCCAACAACACCAACCACTGGGACAATAACTATGGCACTAAAGTGCCTGAGAAGAAATGTGAGCAAAAAAATTAGAATAGCATAATTTATTTGGGGAATCAACTAGCATATGAAGACTGAATCAAGAGAAGAAGTTATCTCGACGAAAATCCCGCCTAATGTGTTGATTAAGCTTACTTGGTCAAATTCCCGATTATCGTACTGTATCCCAAGATGATGTTAACAAACGAAGAAACAATAAGTGCTCCTTGAATTGTCCTCATAGTGTGGACAAATCTCTGCCAAGATACCACAAGACATGAATTAAACAAAAGAGTTGCCTACACCAAGACAATGAAGAATCACCACACTTATAAGCTAGTCAAGAGATGAGAGTATACGTCGTGCTCATTGGTATGGTTCTCATTTGATATATCCTTTATGATTGACAACACGGGCAAAGTGTATGCAAAAGATGCTCCCATCACAGTTGGAAGCCTCGTCCCAATGAGCGTCTGAAGCAGCGTATTTATTCCAGCCAAAAACAACAATGTCTCAATCACTCGGGCTTTGTCACCCTGCGTCCAAGAATGCAGTTAAACAAAAAATGCAATAACATTTTGATTCTGAGTTGTTAAACAAACTTGGGATGTTATACATCACTTACATGAGTACCGCCCATCCGAGGCACGAGATCGCTAGCAATTATCACTATTGTTCCAAGCATCACAATGTAGTGCTGGAAAGCCAGAAAGGCCGTCTCGGCTGTCAAAAAGTTTCAATTGCTTAGTTCAGTATATTATCAGCTGTTAATTGTATGTAACTTGAGTTAACATCAAACATTTCAACCCTAACTTTCTCCAAACCACCAAGACTGAACTAGGATAGGAGTTTTCTTTTCAGTAATATGATTGAAGAATTGAACTTTAATAAAGTGAAATATCAACTCTTTCGGTACTTTATATACAAAGTTCTTTCAGGTAAAGATTCCGAATGAGGTAAGGAATCAAAGCATATGCTCAAAGATCCAGAATTCCAGCTCAAACTCCCTGAAGACTTGGAAACGGAATCGAAAAGAGATTCTTCTGATGTGGGAGCAAAGCAAGCTACACGCTTTCACCAATCAACAAGCATTACAAAGATGAAATACAGGACTCCAAAAAAGAATTATCAATATCGATTTCATCCGGACTTCAGAGTATCAGAAACAGAAAAATAAAAAATAAAACTACTTTCCAAACACTAGCAGACCAAAAAGCACCAATCTTTTCAGCAATAGCTTTCTCCTAGAATGGAATAAACCCCTAAATGCTCAAAACCCCTCTACCCTAATCCCAACCATCACGAATTCAAATCAAAATTAGACCACATATGGAAAATCCAGAAGAGCAGGCCATAGAGAGAGACAAAATAGAAAGGAACATACGCCAAGAAGGGTTGGAGTGGATGCAGTACTGAAGCTGCTGAAGCTGCTCTGCCGGAGTCCAAATCGGTCCCCTTGAAACGGCCATTGCCGGAGGCCCCGCCGGCTGCTGCGGCGCCGACGGCGTGTGATTGTGGCCGTGGTTATGCCCATGCCCTGTTTCCACCATCTCGCTCTAACAAAAAAAAATCCACCTCACCCACTACCAAGATACTTTATTTTCCCCCTCAACACCCCAGAAACGAGAGCAGAGAGAGAGAGAGAGAAAATGAAAAACAGAGAAGATGGGTGGTAGTTGGTGATGAAGAAAGGCAAGTGTGCTCTTTTTCCCTTTTGTTTCCTGATCTCAACAGGAAACGATAAAATGGATGCTCAGATTTACCAGAAACGGGAAGAAAAAAGAAGGGTGTAGAAGAAGAAGAAAAAGAGTCCACCAGAGTGTTTCAGGCAGCTAGCTCGTGTGCCCAGAAGAAGGAAGAACAGAGGAGATTTGAATGCAGACAGTGAAGTGGTATAGAGATTGGTGAACTGATGAACAGAGTAAGACGAGATCGGGATTCAGAACCCAGACGGTGGTGGTGATGCGGTTTTCATTTAGTTTAGTTCTTCTGAGCGCAGCTTTCCAGGAGCTCGTCAAATAGATATCATTATAACGTATGGGTTTAAGAGCTTGGTGGGCCCTTTATCATTCAGCTTTTACAAGGAGAGAGAGACAAGAGGGAAGAAGGGTGAAGGCCAAGGAAGAAGAAGACCCCACGGTTTCTCTGGATTTTCAAACCAATATTTCGCCCTCCTTGTTCGCTTCTATTTACGACTCCTACCCTCTTCTCCTTAATTACTCTTCGATAGTGTATTAGTAGGGCTGTTAATCGGTGGCCAGTTATCTGGTTAACCTCGTAACCGAACCGAGACCGTCAGTTTTTTGGTCGTCCGAAAAACGCAATGTCGGTGTCGGTTGGCAGTCACCGGCAAATTAGAGAGGGTTGCAGTTATCGGTGAAAATCGAAACTGTGGCGGTTAAACCGCGACAACCGCGTGCCCTACCATCCCAGACTCTCCGGAGTCCCTGCTGCAGTCGTCGGCCCATCGTCACTCGCCACCGCCCTTCTCGGCTTCCCCACTGCCGCCTTCATCCTCCTTCTCGCAGTCCCAGACTCCCAGTAATCGTCAACATCGCCATTCCCCCATCTCTAGTCATCTCGCCATCGTCGCCCCGCAGTCCCGCCATCGCCCGGCAGTCCGACGTCGCCCAACAGTTCCGTCGTCGCCCAAAAATGCCGACGTTGCCCAGCAGTTCCAACTTCGCCCAGCAAGGCCGATGTCACCCAGCCATCCTGACACCGCCCAGCAAGGCCAACGTCGCCAGCAGATCCAGAAATCCGGCCAGATTCGCCCTCTGCGTCGGTCTTCTGCTAACCGCGACACCGACCCGAAACTGCCGAGAAAGGTTTTCGGCTAACCAACAAGGCCGTCGGTGTCGGTTGCGGTTGGCATTTTTGGACGTTAGTCGACTGCGGTTAACCGCGTTTGCGTTTCGGTTAAAACCGAAACCGCACCGCTAACTAGATTGGGGTTCGACCGTTGGGCTGACATATACAATCTAAATAACAATAGCAATTATACAAAGCAATCTATATTTCTATTTGGTACCATAAACAATCTAAATGATTGAATTAAAAAAACGTAGGTCATAGAGTTTTTTGTTGGTCTAACATATGCATCAACGAAAATCCTTATTTAAAGTAAAGAATTTAACTCATTAAATGGAACTCACTCCTAAAATTTAAAGATCACACTTCGATTTAATCATTAATGTCAAAGACTACTATTAATTTTCATTTTGACTTCTTTTTTATTGCTCTCATGAGCATGCAACATTATCATTTCTACCAATAACATCGCATTTATCATTATCAATGAAACCTATCTCCACCATCAATAGATTCTTTCTTCTTCTCTCCCATTACATTCAAAGCAAAACTTTAGATTCATCTTGTTTGATGAAATCAAGCTTATAGCCAATATGGTTGGAATATCATCGCAAACTTAAAATGTAGTATTTGATGACCAATTTGTTCAATTGGAATCACTTTGAAGTTTTCAAAAGCGTATATTATGTGGTCTTGAAACAAAGATTGTCAATCTCTAATCACATGTTTGAGTATTTGCGTTCAAATACCATTATCTTCAAAAAGGTAACAACATTCATAATATATCCAAATTTTAATAGTAGAGTCAAATTTGTGTGGTCATTGTGAAAATATTAATTTTTGTCTTTCCTACTCAATAATTATCATATCAAGATGAAGAATAGTATTTGTCTAGGAATCGATTGCAAGTCACTTCCAATAAACATGATTGGAGATCTAACTCCTTTATTGAGTTGCCAGAACAAATAAAAACTTTAATTTTCATGCCGACAACCCTTCAATAGTGTGAATGTCATTGGAATATGAGAAAATTTTATCACCTTGAAGATAGGGGTGCTCGCGAGCAATGTAAATATATTATGATATGCATACTAATCTATAGAAGAACTAAAAAGTAAGACTCCAGACATAGATAATCCAAAAAATATTAAAACATGACAAACACAATATTTGCATGCCAGACAATGGTTGCCCAATCAACAACATCCAATACAACAACAAAACTAATAGCTACTAATACTTACCATTTCTTTTTTGTAAAAGCAAATCAGAGATATCCAATATACTATTTTCTAAGTCTTGGATTCAACTATATCCTAATTGATTATTTATATCTTTTATATGATTTATAAATAAGTTCAATTTGCTATGTTATAAAACAAAAACAAAAAATGCAAGTCTATCAGCAATGTCATCCAACAGATGGAAGTTTTTAATATTATCGTAGCACAAAAACAATGGCACAATGATTTCAGTTTTACTCTATCAAAGTACAAAAAATTGTACCCAAATTTCACCGACTTCATACCATATTGGTGTAATTATGTATCATTATCGTAAAGGAACCTAATACATGTCTGCGACCATGTTATTTAAAAGGATAAATTTTTATTTGAAATCATATCAGAACAAAAATCATAGTGTTAATCATATTAAATTTAAATTTTCTATGAGAATATGTAACTTTGAAATTGAAATGAAAGAGACATACATACAATCTAGTAATGATAATGATGCATATATACTAAGATTGTATAAATATCATACTATATTGGTGGTGTAGTTATGTATCATTGTCGTAAAAGAACAAACAATTGGCTTTGACCATGTTTTTAGATGGATAACTTTTTTAATTTAGATTATATTTGAATGAATATTATTGTGCAAATCACATTAAATATAATTTTTCTATGCCAAAATATAACGTTGGGATTGAAATTAAGGAGAGAATTTGCTAAGTGGAGAGCTCTAATTAGATGCAATTCTCACTTTTTTATAATTTATCAAATGAAATATATAATAATCAATTGTGAATGATATGGCTACCTTCTACCTAGAGGTGTCAATTGGGCGGGTTGGGTCAGGTTCGGATTGGGTATAACCGGGTTGGGTTCAATCGGGTTGTGAGTTCAATCGGGTCGGTTTCTATTTGGATCGGGTTCAATTGGGTTGCGGGTCAATTGGGTTATGAGTCAATCAGGTCACTGGTCAATTGGGTTACGGATCGAGTCAGGTCACGGGTGCTTCAAATTACGGGTTTATTGGGTTGCAGGTTAATTTGGGATCGGTCAAGTCGGACTATGGGTTATTCGGGTCAACCCATTGGACCATTTACTTCTTGACTAGAAAATAATGTTTTACAAACTATCAATATATGAATATAAATAGTAGGTAATGATACAAAACTTAAGAAAAGGATAATATGATAATATTTGTTAGTTTAAAAACTAAATATAAATAAAATAGTGTATATAAAAGCTTTGTTGTTGGTTACAATTTTTTTGTTTATGGTGAGAGATTGTAACTTCACTTATTTTGTTAATTTATAAAAAATTTGAATCAGTAAAAATTTGAGAATGAAGCTAAAAAAGATAGACTATATGCTTATACATCTCGATATGACTCGTTTTAATTAAATATAGTATGAGCTAGATGTGTGTCTCTTCATTTTCAAGAAGACTTATGAACATCATTCCGAATCGCCAACTGGTATATCTTCACAATTTTTTGTATATTCAAGGTAACATCTCATCCTAAAAATCATGGGTCGAACAATGGTTCACTCAAATATGACCTTATCATCTAGTTCGAATCGTTGATTTATTAATTTTTAAAAAATAAATAAAATCAGTAAAAAGTTGAGAATGAAGTAAAAAGGATAAACTATCCACTTATATATCTTGATAGGGATTATTGATTTTGGGAATTTCGTTGATTTTCAAGGGTTCATTTTTTAATATAGTTATGGTTGGTGGAGATACGAGTTTGTGTCTAACTCTTCCTATTTATCTTCAAAAATTTATCCTTTGAATTTCACAAAATAAAAAATGAATGAAAAGATATTTCACATATTATTATTTTAAAAATTAAATATTTAAGAAAAAACCTCAATTTATACCATCAATTCTACAAATAATTTTCAATTATTATGAGAATAACAGTTCTTTCTTGGTAAATTTAAAAGTATAATAATGTATACATTGAATTTTTGTATAAGCATTCGGGTCAAATGGGTTATCATTCGGGTTATAGATGAGTTGGGTTATGGGTTGGATCGGATAACGAGTTTATCGAGTTATGGGTTGATTGGATTACGGGTCAATTGGTTTCGCGTTACGGGCGGGCTTCGGGTGGTTGACTTTTTCTCAAATCTGGTTACGAACTGGTTGTGGGTCGGGTGGGTTGGACGGGTTAGTCGGGTCGGGTTCAATTTTGACAGCTCTACTTCTACCACTACGGAAGTTTTTTTTACAACATACCCATTTTTAATAGAATTTATTATTCTCACTGTTTTTATTACGAGAGGACTTGTTTTTAGATCCACTTTTTTAGAGTTTATGCGTAGGGTATTTTTTTAATAATTAATATGACAAAAATATCCTCCCTAAATTCTTTCAAAGAGCTAGAAATTTTGAATTATGTTTTAATGGAGAACCTTCATAAATAAGTGGTAGGATAGTGATTAGTAAAACTACGATTTGGCTATCGTGTTGGGGGTTGGGGAAATGCACTAGACACT